GGGCAAAAAAAAAAAAAAATGAGTTTCAGAGATGAAACAGGCAAAAATGGGGTGAAATGTTAAAAGTTTTGTACATATATCACAACAGAGCCAAGTCTGTGCCTTCCTTTCAGCCAACCCTACTCCTCTATTAAAAGTATTAGGTTATTATCTTTTAAGAAATTTAGGCTGAGCTCATCTTGTCTACCTAGTACATCAAAGAAAAACTCAAGTTCAAATACCAATACACATCATCTATATTGTCCACCTCTACAATAATCTACAAATTATGAGGTTTCCTAGTGCAATAATATCCTATTTTACCATTTTATACTACACTCAAAAGTAATGGAACCACACAAATATTTTTCTTTTCTTACCCACATTACTTGACCTGATCGTCCATCCATTATTTTCATTTGCATATTTTTAATCTTAAAAAAAAATTCAAATGGCCCTAGCCAACTAGGATAAATACTATATTATAGCTTACATTTATTCTCCAGACACAGGTTCTGTCAATATAACATAAGTGTACGAAAATGATGTCAAAAATGGCAGTATAAAGCCAGGTGCCAGTGGCTAACACCTGTAATACTAACTACTCAGAAGGCTGAGATCTGAAGATCAAAATTCAAAGTCAGACAAGGTAGATAAATGCAAGAGACATGAATAAATCTTCAATGTCCTTAGCCATAAAGGAAATGCAAATCAAAACAACAAGAAGATTTCAACTACCGTTGTTAGGATGAAAATCATCAAGAAAAAAACAATAAGTGCTGGTAAGGATGAGGGTAGAGAAAGGAACCCTGTTGGTATAAATGTAAATTAGTTCAGCCATTCAGGTTCCTCAAAAAATATAAACAGAACTACCATATGATAACCAAAGGAATGTAAAGCAACTTCTAAGAGAGCTACCTGTACACTCATGGTCACTGTAGCACAATACACAGGGTAGGAAACCAGACTAGGTCCCCAACAACCACTGAATGGATAAAGAAAATGTGTCACATATGGACAATGACATGTTATTCAGCCATAAACACGAATAAAATGATGTTATTTTCAGAAAAATGGATGGAATTGCAGAAGCTAAACCTTAAAAAAATATAAAGTAATCATTTCCCATGATTTTCAAAGAAAAGCTTTCAGGAGCACACCAGCAGGAGAAAGTGATAAATATTATAAAATATCTCTCTCTCTCTCGCTTACTCTCTCTCTATCCTCCCTCCCCATATATGCGTGTATGCACGTTTGTGAAAATGGCATGATAAAATCCACAAAAACTCTTTAAAAAGATGAGAAAGAAGTAGAGTTAAGAAAGAGTGTGAATTTGATCAAAGTACATTATATGCATATGTATACATATCATAATAAAATCCCTTTATGCAGTTAATTTTGCTAATAAAGACCAGGAAGTGTAACACTTCTATGGTGATGCATGAATATGAACTGATCTTTACCTACTTTGTCCCCCCCCCCCATTAAAACTATTCCTAGATCATCAGCTAGAGTGGCCTTATTAAGCTCATACTCTTATTATGGCATTTTTTTGAGAATTTTTTTTATTGTGAAAATACTGTACAGAGGGGTTACAATTACATGGGCAAGGTAATGAGTCTTACCAAGCATTGTTGCCTCCTCCTTTGTTTTATTATGGCATTTCTACACACACAGCCTTACAATGCTTTCCCATCCTACTGAGAGTTAAAACCAGTCTTCCCAGTGATCTATAAGATCCCTCATACACAAGACCTAGCCCCTTGAGGCCATCTCAAGTACTAACTCTCAAATCTCTTTCCTGTCACTCTCCAGACTCTCCCTATTCCTCACTTTACCCCAATCTCACTGGCCTTTCCATTGGCTCTCCCTAACTTCCAAGCATGCTACTGCCTCAGGATCTTTGCATCTGATATCCATTCTTTTTAGTGTCTTCCTTGTTCTACTGGCCTTCCCTGACCAATCTAGTTAACATAACAGATCCTTAGTCTCTCTTGCTTGCTTTTCTTCCCCATAGCACTTCCTACCATTTTTTATTCCATCTAGTTTCTTATCTATTAGTTTACAGTCTGTCTCTCCTGATTAGAATAAAAACTACTACGCTCCAGCTATACAGACTACGTAAATGCTGATGAGTGCTACCTGTTTTTCCATCTGTTCCTGTACTGCTGGATGGTCCATGAGAACTGAAGTTAGTATCTTTCACTTCATGGCACCAGTGCCTAAAACAGAACCAGGCACAGCGCTCCCACTTGACAAATACTTACTGGATGTGGTAGAACACAGAAAGAAACTTAACTCAGATTTCAGCATTCTTAACATCTTATTTGGCTCTAGTCTAATGGAGCTTAATGATGACTGAATCATCCAGCTATTTACTTTAGAAAAATATATGCCTACACTTGGTGTATAACCCAAAGCATAATTAAAAACCAAAAATGACAAGTAAAGATCACTGAGGAAACATCAGTGTTTCCTTGGTGATAAGAAATGGACTTTCATGGTACAAACTGTCAAATTATGCAATAAAAACAAATTCACTTTCATTTTTCTCCATCATGTTTCTCTTCCTATTAATCAATTATTAAAGGCTTTTTTGCAAAGAGCTTTCACCCTTTCTCTTCCCAACTGAAGCTAATTCATAATACTGAATTAGGTGACATTTACTTTCTTGACAAACGGTCTGATAGAATAAAGGTTTCTTTTGTTTGTTTTCTTTTGCTCACAACCCCAGCATACTGAAAATAAGGATAGTAAAAAGGCTGTGGCTGCTAAACCAAATGCACAATCCTCAAGAAGTGGCTTTCTTTTTCAGTACCAGTACCAGGCGAACCCTCTTTGTTTGCAGCAAAGATGCTATCGACTCAGAGTGGTAGGGAGCAAAGCAGAAATCACTCCTGGTGCTCCCCTTGAGATTAGGACAAAGTCCTTTCACTCAGCCAAACTAATCAAAAAACACAAATACCAAAAGGTCCTTCACCCTTGCTGTGATTACCTGAGGCAAAGCCAGAGGTCAGCAGCTCCATACATTCATTTTCTGACCCCTCTTGAGCTTACTATATTGGGTCACAATGGACTACAGTTTACTTTAAATCTAGAGCAACTGATCTATAGCTTTACCCAATGTCACAGATAAATCCATAGGATGAACTCACCACTTGCAAAGGCTAAGAATTAAAGTATTCCTTTCAAAAATTCCCAGTTATTTTTTAAATGTAAAGAGGTCAGAATATTGCACAAAAAAAAAGGTTAAAAGCTTACTAATTCTAGAACTGGATTCCTAGTGGCAGATACATGATAGTAATATATCAATAGTGTTCAAAGAAAGATAGTTTGTGTATCTACTTACAAAATCACAATATAAGGTGAAGATACCAGGAAATAGAACATGGGAGAATGACATATGCACACCCATTTCTAAGTAGGCTCAGGCCAGCGTGCTCAATTTGCTGATAGCAAGGGCAGTAAGTTTTATATTATGGTCTGTGAAGCCCATCATCCTCCAGAGCTACCTGAGAGGCAATTACTGTGTGCTGAGTAGGGAACTAAGCGTGTTGATCTGGATCTTTCGGTTCAATCCCAAGTAAGCAGAGAACATTGCCCCATCTAATGTTTTTAAAAGGGAGTATTTTTTTTTAAGGGAGTATTTTTTAAAGGAAAAAAAAAGTGTGCTGCCTTAAAAAAATGAATGAAAATCCCCGGCAGCAAAAGCTTTAGAAGTCAGAGAACAGAACTCAAATTCTAAATTTATTGAGCCTAAAGACACAATTATGCCTGGCAAAGAATCTGTATTTCTAAGTGGCAATTATTGCAGCTTATCAAATAGTACAAAAAAGAATTAAAGGAGTAGTACTCAAAATACACAGCCAAGAGACACATAACTGCGATGTGACGGTATATAAGCCATTTTTGCTCAGTTCATCTCCCTGGCCAAATATAAAAATACCTCTTACAAGCCCAGTTTATCCTTTATGTACTAAAGGCCAGATATGCAGTAACCATGAGCTTTTCAAGGGCTTACAACAAAAGGAAAGGAGGAGCTGAGAGAAAGAGGGAGCAAGGAAGAAGGAAAGAAAAAAGAAAAGAGGCAAAAAAAAGGAAAAGGAGAAAAAGAGTAAAAGACAGAGACAGAAAACAAACAACCTCAAAACAAAATAAAAATTAAAACCAGTTCAGCACAACTAAAGCATCATATTCAAGAATATTAGCCAGGCATTGGTGGCTCACGCCAGTAATCCTAGCTACTCAAAAGGCTGAAATCTGAGGATAGCAATTCAAAGCCAGCCGGTTAGTAAAGTCCATGAGACTCTTATGTCCAATTAACCCCTGGAAAACTGGAAGTAGAGTTATGGCTCAAAGTAGTAAAGTGCTAGCCTTCAGTAAAGAAGTTCAAGAACAGTGCCCAGGCCCTGAGTTCAGACCCCAAGATAAAAAAAAAAAGAATTTGTTTTCATAAACATTTCATGATATGAAGTACTTCATATTTTGAATTCCCTTTCATAGTATGAAATGTTTATATTAGATCTAAGTAATTTATAAGATTTTCTTCACAGAAAAAATACCGACTGCAGAGAAATCACAACCAACTTCAAATTCAGTTACATACTCAAAGTTAAGACTGCAAAAACGTTAAAAAATATATTGAAAGAGATTTTTTAAAAATTCAATTACAGCAATCCACCAACACTTGTTAACAATAAAAAAAGGTGGAATGTGCACACATTAACTACATTTGCTATACTCTAATTAGAGGCTCTGGAGTCTTAAGGAGCTCTTCTCTTTGGTTCAGATTCTTGTCCGCGTTTCTCAAATTGAGATTGTTTGCCTTATCCTATTTCACTCTTCAGTGATGAGAAAGGCCCCGCCCAGGGTGCTCTCTGTGGTCTTCCTCAGCCTGGCTTTCTAGATACCTGCAAAACTCTTGAAACCGTCATTGTAAAGCCAACACTAAGAACCACTAGTCACTGTGACACCTCTCCAAGCCACCACACCTGTACTAATGGGAGGTATCACAGGCTTACCTGTTTGATTTTATTGCGGGAGTTAGTGATGCGCTCTGTGATGCTCTGGTAGGTGCGAATGGCTGTTGTCAATTCTGTATAGTGCTGCACAATCAGCTCATCTAGGTCACGGTCACATTTCTCATAGGCTTCTTCAAGGCGACCCTTCTCATTTTCTCTGTCTTCAACATCATCACTGGTAGACAGAGTCCTGGAGGAGAGAGAATAAATAGAGCTAAGAAAACTTAATAAGTAAAAGAAAGGTAACTCAGAAAAGTAACAGAAAAAGGTGCCTTTCCCCCAATCCTGGATGTTGTTAAACAAAGCTGAGCTACTCAGTCATCTTACAGTTGTGGAAGGAATAGCCAAGAGAATTGCCAAGCTATTGAAACTACCTCATGGGACCATTGAAGGGGCCAGGTTTGAAGCTGCCTCACCTCAAGACTTCTTGTTAGGGAAGTTAATGAATACATTGTTTATATAACTTTCTTTTATAGGTAGCTGCAAGTGTTCCAATTGAAAAATCACTCATACACTAAGGAATGACCTTCCAAAGAGCTCATCCAAATGACCTGAATTTGATACAAAGACTTTAGCAGCCTGCAAATAAGGTCATATTTATTCTAAAATCTGTTACAACAGCAATAAACTAAGCTATGCTACAAGACAGACTGCATTTACTATTCTTCAAATAGCACTAACAAGATTGATATGAATCAACGATAATGAGGGAATGAGATACTTATTAAAAATATTTCAATTACTTAGTTTGATACATGGGCCACAGATTTTGTTTCTTCTATTATTTTTCTTGGGTAATTTTTTTTAATTTAGTATTATAATCAGTAACAGAAACCTTTTCCTCTTATCTGTTGACTGGGGTAATTTAGAGTTTCATTAAATTCCCTCAGATTTGTCAGCTTATACATTCAGTCTAGTTTATTTCATTTATCTTTTTTAATTTGGAGGGGGTGAATTTTAGGCTCTCAGTGATGGATGCAATCAATTATAAGTCCATCATTAGAACTGCTTTCGGAGATGGACTGTCAGCAAATCAATCATGTATACACCTCTTGATATTAGCAAGCAAAATACTGTACAACAGTCTTCTCCAAACTGTCAGTCACACCACAAGATCTTAATTCATGTGCCACACAATACATAAAACTACGTTTTCAATTTAGAAAGGAATTCAAGGGGCCAGCCTTTGCATTCAATCTAACTTCCAAAATGAATTTTGCAAAAAGTGTTAGGAATGCCAAGAGACCATGTATTGCATGAAATCATGAGTAAGAGGTACGCAATGAATAAAAATGTAAAAGCTACCAAGGACAGTGTGACAAACTCAGGAAAACAATTATCACTAAAATCTACAAGACTTAAATTAAGGGCTTCTCTGTGTCAGATCCTGCTTCCGTGTTCGTAAACTGGTGATCCTAAACCAGAATAACTGAGGTTATTTTCAGGTAGAGAATAATACCATGCAAATAGCTGACTACTAAAGTAAACCAAAATCAGAATTTTAGAAAAAACTAGACAGAGCTACCAGGATTACAAGTAATATTTGGATACAGAATAGCTTAGCATGTCTTCTTGTTGTTTTAATAATATATAACTTTGCTCTTTAAATCTGAAATCTTCCAGGCTGTTCATCTAAAGTAAAATACAATCAAAAAAGTGCTATTTATCAACTGTCCCAAAGGTTCCTCAACATTAAGTCTATCATTTCCTCTTTTAACAGGTCTCCAAACTTATATTGTGTCTGTCTGCCATATTTGCAATGCTTTTCATAATTTCCTCTCTCTACTACCATTTGTGAAAGGAAACCTGCCAAGTATCTCACATTGTTTACCTTAACTAGGTAGCATTACCATTAAGGAAAATGTCAGGCCCACTGTGGATACCTTCTGTAGTATCAGCTGTCACTGCAAGACATTACTGGGTCATTAGGAGTTATTTAGGAAATAGAAAGGGTTACTAAAATGAAGATTAGAGAGTAAATTGAGTCCATAGGGGATTTTTGCTCCTGTTTTTATTTTCAGAGAAAACATTTATATAAGGAACATTGTGTGCCAGGTTTGCTCCACACTAGAAATCTATCCTCTTCATATAACCTGGAATAAATAGCAATTTTCTTTCATTAAAAATACTTACATTTTGAAAATTTGAATACAAAACTATAAAGTCTTTTTTTATAAATTAAAGAAAATGAAGGCAGTAAGGATAATAAAATACAATAATAGCCTCTAATATTTAGAGAGGCTTACTAGCTGCCAAGAACCAGCTGTGCTGAATGTTTTATAAAATGTATGTATAATCCCTTTGGAGCAGTCCTGCATTCTTTCCCTTCCCCTTTTTTTGCTGAGACTGAAGAGGTTAAATTAACTTGCCCCACCTACCTCACACAATAAGTGCAAGGATAGAACAGAGATTTAAACCCAAGTGAGTCTGTTCACAGATGATGTTTTAAACTACTGCAGTGTTGGAGGCGCTAGAGTCAGCCTTGCTCACCATAATGATCACCCATATGACCTTGGTAATCATAACTCATTTTTGCCACCTACAAAATGGAAACAATGAAGTACTTCTAGGATTATGGGAAAGTATTTAAACAGGATCAAATAAGCCCTAGTATTTCATAGTCACACAATGTCTGTTGTAGTTGTAGGCTATTGTTGTTACAACAGTCGTAGTTGTTGTTATTGTTATAGAAGTTGTTATTATGTTATAGCAGATCGAAAGTCCATCCAGTTCCAAAGGCTTGGAACTAGAAGTGTTTTGGATTTTAAATTTTGTCTTTATATTCTGGAATAGTAACTTACAATGAGACTGGCTGAGGATTGAGCAAGTCTAAACATGAAATGTATATTTTATATACATAGTCTCAAGGTAATTTTACACAATATTTCAAAATTTTTATTCACGAAACAAAGTTTCATGCTAAGGAATTCTATTTGCAGCATCTTGGGTCAATACTCAAAAAAATAGAATTTGGAGATATCTCAGATTTCAGATTTTTACAGTGGACATGCTCAACCTATAGCAGCAGCAGCAGCAGCTTTTCTATATTCTATAGTAGCAATTTTCTATATTAAAATGGAAAGCACATCCTCTAGAAAAAAGGTTCAAATTTCATGACCCCAAAATGCTAGATTAGATATCTCTGGACATGAGATTTAACCTCTCTGATTCCTATTTTTCCTTAATATTAAGAACTGTAAGAGACTGGGCTGGGAAGGTGGCTCAAGTGGTAGAGCGTTTGCCTTGCATGCATGAGGCCCTGGGTTCGATTCCTCAGCACCACATAAGCAAAAAGAAAAAAGCCAGAAGTGGCGCTGTGGCTCAAGTGGTAGAGCACTAGCCTTGAGCTGAAGAGCTGAGGGACAGCACCCAGGCCCAGAGTTCAGGCCCCACGACCGGACCCCAAAAAAAAAATTGTAAGAGTTTGAGATTTTATGCTATTTGCCTCTAACATATGACCTGCAATAGTTTCACAGGTGCTGAAAGAAGAAACCAAACTCCTGGGTTGGAGAATAAAGGCTTCATTACCCACAGCAAAAGCAGGTAGCATCAACATCAGTTCCCTTTGTCCACAAGTCCCATGCATCTCAGACAGAAAGGACCCAAAATGAATGCCTGCCCCCATTGCAGGTAGTTATCAGAGAGGAATCCAGTGTTTAGAAAAGCAAATCTTTTATAAGGCCTGGAAGCATGCCTGCCCTTCAGTAAGAAAGACCCAATCTACCAAGGCACTTTTTTAACAACCATTCTTGAGGAACAGAAATTAAAATAAATGATGTTCACTGCTGTGCTCCCAAAACTTTCAGACACTACCAAAAACACATCAGACACAAGGAAAACTGCCCCCAAATAAAAATGAAATACTAAGTCACTAAAATCCTTCCAGGATTGAATGTTAGTGTGGTGCCAAGCAATAGTACTAGGCAGCAAAGATTCATTCCCAAACTGTTTCCCCTTTGCTACAAAGTGAGTCCAGAAATGCCTCAGATAGCAAATCCGTGCAAAATGACTGAATGATAGATCACACAAAACTGAAAGAGCACACAAGTCTAGACATAAACACCATGCAAATGCTAGTAAAACCCCCATAAATTTCAGGATGGGATTATCATACTTTAATCCTGGCACTTGACCTAACTAAGAGCAGGGTGGAAGAGAACACTTGTCATCTAGCTCACCCTGCCAGCCAGGTCAGGAACCCCTCTTCATCCTTCTAAGCTTTTGTGTGTTACAAAATGCTCACTAACTCATGCAATTCACTGAAATTCTCAGCTGCTACACTGTGACAAAGCCTTCCAATAAATAAACAAACAAACTAATAAATAAACAAAATCAGGCTCTTTAGAATTTTTACCCACTGATCGTAGGTCCATCATTTTTGGTAAGACAAAATAGGTCTAATCCCTCTTCTTTTTAAAAGGACACTAGGCAACAGTTCTTTTCTCAAGTTAAATACTTCCAGTTTCTCCCACTGGTTCTTCCATATCATGCTCTGAACACCCCATGCATTTGTTGCTTCAGACCAAAGTCCCCTCAGAAACAGGAAACACTCATACAGAAATTACTATGGGTTAGGCGCTAATTTGAACGCTTTAACGCAAAGATTCATTAACCCCTGATGACCCTATGAGATAGGTACCATTGTTTGCTTCTTTCTAGAAATGAAGACGTTACACAGTTCAAGGCACATAACTTTATGTAACAGGGTTGGCCTCACACCTGGAACATGTGGCTTTAAAGTCCATCTCATAATGGCCTCATTACCATCTCTTGAGGTTTGGTCAAACTGAACACAAAATACTTCCAATTGGAAAGAGGTTTCACATTTCACAACATGGTCATGATAGCTCTAAGAATACACTCTAAATTTATATCGCATTTTTAAACTAAGTCCACAACTTAGCCAAGATCCCTTTGACAGTGAGTGCTGGGAGGCCAGCTTTCACATATCAACTGTAAACTAAATGTAGAAATTAACAAACACCTATGTGTTCTCCATACTAGAAAAAGGTGGGGCACAAGGTACAAATTACTGGGAGTAACAAAACAGGGCATGTGATGGTTACTTTGCACACATAATCTAAAATATCCTCAAAATAGTCCAGTGAATTAGACAGTGGATTAGTCCAATGAATTACCTCTTACAGGTAAGGAATCAGAGGTTCAGAGAGATAATCTGCATATATCTAG